GCCAGAGGGAGCCCAGGCCCATCTGCAGCAGCCCTGGAGCTGCAGAGGAAAACTCCCCCCTTGTGCAGGATCCCTGCTGCAGCAGAGCCACAGCTGGGACTGCAGGAGGGCTGAGCCCCCATGGGATGGGGCTGGGACACCTCCCTGACACACAGGGGGACAGGGCATGGTCTGAGTCTGGCAGTGGTTTGTTTTCTTTTTTTGTACCACTGCATTTGTATTTTTAATTTTCCTATTAAAGAACTGTTATTCCTTCTCCCATATCTTTGCCTGAGAGCCCCCCTTAATTTCAAAATTACAATAATTCAGAGGGAAGGGGATTGCATTATCAATTTCAAGAGTGGCTCCTGCCTTCTTTAGCAGCCACCTGTCTATTCAAACCAAGACACCATGTTACCCACTATGTGTCCAGCCAGCCTGGTGACTTCTCTCCTTATCTTTGCAGGGCTGTTGGGAGATTGATAAGAATGAGCACAGATTTGGGTACTTCTGTCTGAGCTGAGCTGGGCTCTCACACTCCTGGGCTGCTGCTGCTGGGACTTCTCACTGCATTTACTGCTGTACAAGAAGTTTTTGCTTGGTGTAAGAAGAGACAGAGTCTTTCACAAGCTCTTGGCTTTCTCAGAAGATCCACTACTCTCTGTAAATTCCTTGCAACTTCAAATGTTCACACCTCACAGGGAGCTATGTGGCTAGATGAGCCTCATTCTGTGCCCCTGTCAAGGCCAATAAAAATGGAAGCACACACCAAATACTGCATGCAAGCAGTAACTTCTGCAGCACAGAACTCCTGAGGTGCCCATGGGCATTTCTACAGATACACAGAATCCTTGGGATCAAAATGCAGTCCTCAAAACAAATTGTGTTTGAACAAAGATCTCAGAGTAGTAGGTAATTTACGACAACTTGAGAAGTTTAGGCTGGAGCATATACAGAATTTCTCTTTTAGGCATACAGACAAGAAGGATGATTGACTAGGTTTTGCTTAACTGTTCCTTCTTTCTTCATAAATGTCATCTTTGGACAGGGATCAGACATGCAAAAATGTGGCACAAAGGCTGTGACTATGAGAAAATAATGAAGAGCTGTAAAAGAGGCTTTATAATGAAAGCTGTATTTCACCCCTGAAACTTCCATTCTAGCTATAAAACAGCTCTTAAGAGCCTGCTGCTGTTCTGTAAAACAGAAATTCTGAGCCTACACATGCACTGACTGTGGGATAGGAGCTGCCCTGGCCAAAGCTATCTGTTAAGCAAACATATTAAAAGCAAATGTAAACACCTTTTCCCTGTCCTCTGGAACTGAGTGTTGAAGTGAAAGCCGTGGGCCAAAGTCCCTGCTGCAACCTCACTGCACTCAAAGGCAACAAGCCCAGGAAGAGTTTGCTTTTCCTGCTTATGGGAGACCCCCCCTGTGTAATGAACCCAGCATAAATCATGGAACTCACACTTTTTTGGCCTGGCTTCAGTGGGTAATTCAGTAGATTATTAAGGTCAAAGGACAGCACTGTCAATGACATGGCTATGAATAGCCCAGGCCAGCATCTGATTACACGCAGTAATTGTAGAAAGAGCACACAAGGGCTCTCACCAGTCTCCAGGGCTGCTGCTCCCAATTTGTATGCCCAGGAAGATTAATCTCCTGATGTGTGCACGAGTCCATAGACCTTCAACCCAGCTGGGCTCTGGAGACTACCTGTTTGTAGTTAGCCAGAAAATGGGAGCCATTCCTCATCCACAGGCTGCGCCGGGAACATATCCCACAGCTCTTTTATTCCAAAGGAAATTTATGAGTGCCCAGTTTAGCTTCAGAGAACAATTTTGGGGTGTATATGTGTCCTAAAGGATAGTGATTCTAAATAATGGGAAGCAAGTAGTCAGAGGAGCAGTCAGTCTCAAATTTTGACGCCTGTTCTGGCTTACGGTTCCTGATGATACTTCAGGTCTTGGAAGCTCCTGCACGTGGCTTTTACTGAGAGGTAAAAGGTAAAGACTAAGAGGTAACAAGGAGTTCAGAAAAGGAGAAGGAACTGTGTCTTGGATCTTTACAAAGGTGGATTTCCATCTTGTTGGCTGGCAGGTACACACAGGTCTGCACTGATGAGATTAACTAAAAATCTTTGAGAAAGCTGCTGAGAAAACTGGGATGATTTACCAAAACCACCAAAAAAATTTGACGAAAAAGCCAGGTAATTCCTTCAACATTTGTGCTTCACAGAATCTACAGTCATAGTAGGGACTCAAAACCGGGAATTCATCACACAAAACAGGGAATCATCACATAAAACAGGGAATTCATCACACAAAACAGGGAATTCATCTCCCGTGACACATCACAGCAAGGACCTCTGATGACACATCTCCGTGTGCCATTGAGAAGAAGGAAAGGGAACGGTCATGGGAGATGAAGTTGGATCCCACACTTTGCTGAAAAGGAGTGAGAGCTCCCAGCAGTCAGTTGAGAAGCCCTGTGAAACACCACGGCTCCGTTTGTAATGAAAATGTTGACATAATTCCATGTTCAGCTAATATATTTTCAGTTTGGAAGTGCTTAGGGCTTTGACAGAGTATTAACATTTTCTTTGGAAGGCAAACATTTTCCCAAAAGTCTAATTGAGTTGAAAATCAGACTCCTTATTCAAAAAAATGGTATAAGTGAAAACTGTAAGCCAGAACAGGCTTCAAAATTTGAGACTGACTGCTTCTCTGACTACTTGCTTCCCATTACTCAGAACCGCTGTCCTTTAGGACACATATACACCCCAAAATTGTTCTCTAAAGCTATATTGGGCACTCATAAATTTCCTTTGGAATAAAAGAGCTGTGGGATATGTTCCCAGTGCTACTTCAGGTTTTGGAAGAGCAGAAAGGCAGTGAAGCTATGTATGACAAAAAAAGGAATCAGAGTTCAAGGAAAAGATAAAAATCCCAATGGTTTTCCTTCTAAATAAACAAAGAAGAGCATGTTTTCAACATCTCTTCCATCACCCTGATCAAACTGGAGAAAAATCACTTTTCAAGAAGTTTTCACTCAGCAAGTCACCAATCACGCAGGTGAGTTGGGGGCAAGAGAGGCAGAAAGCGTTGAGGGCAGAGAGGGAGCCATAAAGTCAATATAATCTCCATCTGCAATATTTTACACACCTACAGCTCACAACCGACGCCGAATTAATGCTTCCTTTGTTTTCCTTATTTCCTTTTTTTTTACTCCCTGCCTCCGGATCAGGCACTTGGGAACACGGTGGCTGTGTGGACGTGGAGGCTGCCATAAATATGCAGGGCTGTAGCTGTGCTGATAACCCCGTACCTGAGACAGCCTGGAGCTTGTCTGCAGAGCCCTGCTGGCTCGGGCCATGTTGCTCTTGGTTTGAGTTCTGCCCACACACACATAAAACCTCTTAACTCCAGCACAGTGGCACTTTCAGCCCCTCGCTCGACTCGCCCGCGGAGCTGAAATATCAGTGAATAAAATATCAGTGAAGCCCTCAGCCCCTTCCTGTAATTCCTTCCATGTGCCCAAGGCAAGATGAATTCTTTTCTCCAAAGAAATCTGTAGCTCAGCTTACAGTGGTGCTAAGGATCATGCTAAGAAATGCCATACCTGAAGGAATGCAACATCAGTCATGGAAGGGAAATGTCACTGCGTGGCATTTCCACGCCAGCCAAACTAACTCAGGATGGGTAATTTGAGTGGAACCGGGCAAGTGTTTGTTCAGGGAGCACTGGTTTTGCCAGAATGCAGTGTTTTAAATGAATAAAACTCTCTGTGAAACTGGTATTTCAAATCTAGAGAATAGTTTTTAGCCAAAAAAACCATGGGAAAGAATGTTGAAAATGTCAACGTACTTTTTTTTTTTTCTTCATAACTTTCCAGGAAAAAAGAAACCAAACTTGTCAACTTTCATTTCGAAAGAGCATTTTTTATTTTGGAACTGACTTGCGCTCTTGAAAGCAAAGGGGAAATTTTTTCAGAGGGTGAAACAATAAAAATATTGTTCAGTTCATCCGAAACAAATTTTCCTATTTCCCAATTTTGTTAAACTTCTCTTAAAAGAGAAGTTTGCTTCACCTTTTTAGTGTGAAGCATATTGGTTTTTCCTATCTTGATCACCTTATGGGTTAAAAAAAATATTCATAGAGCCATAAACTCGGTAAGACAGCTCATTAGCTTTATTATCACTGCTACAGAAAGCCACTAAATATCTGTATCTGGTTGAGCAGGATTCAAATTTCAGTAGTAAGAAAGAAAAATAAACCATAAGTAACATAATCAATTGGCTACATCTCAACAGGCTTTAACAAACTGAATCAGAATAAGCAAAAGGTGCAGACTCCTTTCTGTTCCTTTTTTATTTTTTTTCTTCTTTGATCTTGGCCATTCAGAGTATCCTTTCTATCCCTGGCTAATTATAGGAGTGGGAATTTTGCTCTGGAGTATTTTGTATCTGTCATCACAGCTGATGCATTGGGTATGATTCCCCTTTGGCATGTGAAGCTCTGTCACAGACTGTACTTCTTTCCTTTTCGGGTCTCGGAGAGGTGACACAAACCTGCTGCAGGAAGCTGCATCTGTGTGATGTCTAGGAAGGGAGAAATCTTCCCCTGAGCACACATTTCTGCACCACTTTAATGCCACAAATGTCCTTAAAACAAGACTTAAATAAAATTTAAGAAATGTGCCTTGACTGTGTTTCATTTTCCTTCTGAAAATGCTGTTTTCAAAAATGTCATGTGTCACTGTCATATTTCCTGAAAAATACCTTCGCCAGGATTTTTTCCTGGGAAGCTGAAAAGCCTCAGAGAAAAAGGAAAACAATAATTATCTGATTTGCTTCTCCTGTGTTTTGCTGCCTTGGAATGTGTTTGGAGATTGTTTATCCAATATGTGAATTGTTTCTACTTAATGACCAAACACGGTCAGGCTGTGTCAGACTCTGGAAGGAGTCACAGATTTTTCATTAGTATCTTGTTAAATCTTCTGTCTCTATTCTTTAGTATAGTCTTAGTATAGCATTAATATAATATAATATAATATAATATAATATAATATAATATAATATAATATAATATAATATAATAATAAATTAGCCTTCTAAGAACATGGAGGCACATTCATCATTTCCTTCCTGCCACAGGGGGCCCCAAAAACACCACAGTCAAGCAGAAATGTTACCATCAGCTTCAGCTCCTCACTGAACCTCCCTTGTGTTTTCTCATTTTGTGTTTGTTGACAGTGTGACACAGGGAGGCTCTGAGAAGCCTTTTTTGCCTCAGCATTAATACAAATGATTGTTGATGCAGAAAAATGCAGCTATTTACTTGTGTTTTGCTGGCTCAGAGCCCCCAAAGTCTCTCTCTATCAGATACAGCAAATTTTTCCATCACTTGCCCTTCACAGCTCTGCATGACTTTTATCTGCTGTCAATTTCACTCATTTTCCACCCCAATCCATTTAAACTGTGCCCTTTTTTTCCCATATACAACATCTAATTAATCTATTGAGCTTTCTTCCCACATTGGATCATTAAGGCTAAGAAAACGTCATCTGGCTACCCCAAATTTGTACATTTGATCAGAAAATTAAAGATCTATGGCAGCATTATATAGAACTAGTCATTTTGTCAGCAGGAGAACATCACAAATTTGTTTGTGGATTCCTTAACCTCTAATACTGTTGTTGTGCTGATTTAGTGGGCTCCTTCCCTGGGAAAAGGGAAGGGCAGTCAGAAAACCATCAGGCCACACTTCTAAAGGTTTTCAGACTTCTAAAGACAGTTTTAGGACTCAACAGGATTTTCAGAAACCTAAGGACCAAAGTGATACTGCTCTTAAAATCCCACTTGGCATCTCCTTGCAACCCAGGCCAAAGCAGACCTTTCAAGACTTTCCAGTCCTTTAGCAATGGGCCTGAAAAGGTGTTCAGTGACACTGGAATGTTTAAGGAAAAATATTTTGCCTAATGTGTAGCCTCCTCTATATAATGTGTAGGAGAAGGTGGGTTTTGTTGCAGCATTTTCAGAAATAGCTATAAATAGGCAAACCAGAAACTGGACATTTAGTCTCAGCTAGTTTCCCAACTGGACTGCAGGAATTTGCACAGACAAATCTGCCATTGAAGCCAACAAGGATTTTATCATGAAAAGTCCTGGTTCTACACTCAGAATTAATCCCTCACTCAAACCCAGGTAAAACAACTCCTCATTGCAGCTTGGGAGCATTAGAAAAGGATGTAAAACAGGTAAAAATGATGTAGGACCAGGCAAAATGTGTATTTATTGTATTTGCTGGGAATACCCTGACAAAGGCAGGAATGATGAATCTGACTCCATGTTCTCAGAAGGCTAATTTATTATTTTATGGTACTATATTATAGTAAAGAATACTATACTACACTAAAGAATACAGAAGGATACTTACTGAATGCTAAAAATATAATAATAATAAAAACTTGTGACTCTTCCAGAGTCCCGACACAGCTTGGCACTGATTGCCCAATAAGTCAAAACAACTCACAGCAGAATCCAATGAAACAATCTCCAAACACATTCCACACATGAGCAAAACAGAAGAAAAACAAATGAAATAAAAATTGTTTTCCTTTTCTCTGAGGCTTCTCACCTTCCCAGGAGAAAAATCCTGGGCAAAGGGATTTTTCCAGAGAATGTGAATGCCACATGAATTCATGCTGATGAATGACCTGGCAGAACACATGATTAGACCCAACGACAGTGGTCACTGTAAATCAAACATGATACACAGTGCTATTTATATCAGGTGTACCTGGGCACCATGAAGGTCATCTTTGACACATCACCACTGTCACTTCATATTTTCTGAAAAATCCCTTCACCCAGGATTTTTCTCCTGGGAAGCTGAGAAGCCTCAGAGAAAAGGAAAACAATTCTTATTTCATTTGCTTCTCCTGTGTTGTTCTCATGTGGAATGTGTTTGGAGATTGTTTACCCACAGGTGATTGTTTCATTGGTTTTTGGTGTGAGTGTTTTCACTCATTGGCCAATTGAGGCCAAGCTGTGTCAAGACTCTGGAAAGAGTCACAAGTTTTCATTATTATCTTTTTAGCCTTCTGTAAGTATCTTTTCTGTTTTCTTTAGTATAGTTCAGTATAGCATTCCTAAATATAATATAGTATCATAAAATAATAAATTAGCCTTCTGAGAACATGGAGTCAGATTCATCATTCCTTCCTCCATCTGGGGGCAACCTAAACACAATCCGCCACTGCTTGTTGCAGAAGATGAGATGAAATGACTCACCCCAACAAACTTCCTGAGGAATTCCCGGGAGGATTCCACGTCGGTGTTGGAGAGCTCGATGTAGTCGCCCATCATTCCCTCCTCCGTGGCGGGCACCTCGCGGTAGAAGTGCTTGGCCCTGGCGTAGAACTGCATCTCCCCGTTGATCACTTGGCTTGTCAGGGCGTAAAGCTTCACTGCAAGCAGTGAAAATCACCATTGTAAATGCCCATTTTATTGTTAGTGACAGATATTTCTGCCTGAGCTGATTGCCCCATGTGGTGGTGGAGCAGCAGGCCCAAGGCCTACAGACGGAATCCTGACCTGAGCCCACAGGAGCCATGAGGGAGCTGACAGCTCTTTGTGGGAACAGAGCTCTGCAGCAGTGAAAAACAGCTTGGTTTTCCTCAGAACGAGCTCTAAGACTGTGGAAAACAACCTGCTTTCCCTAAGAAAGAACTCTAGGACTGTGATAAACACTAGCCATGTGTATAAATTGGTTTTACACTAGATACAGAAATGAAAGTTATTTCTCACAAACAACCCTTCCTCCAGGAACACACCAGGAGTTTGAGTGACCAATCAATACAGGGCAACAACTTGTGATCAACTGGGGATAGACAGGGGATGTTCTTAAAAACTCTAAAAATAGTTTAATAAAATAAACTGGGTTGGATCCTTTCTTTTTGCACTGTAAAATGTGTCCTGCATCCTTCTTTATGGGGCACACAGCGACACTCCAGAGGCACAATGATGAATGTTGGATTTTACCCTTTTCTGACCCAGAGATGGGGCAACTGAGAGGCGTTTTAAAAACTTTTATTCTATTTTAATCTCATGAGACAATACAGATGTTACAATTCACACCATCACAATCAGAAGCCAATTATTTCTAAATGACAATACATTATAAGCATTTCTTGGCCTATCAGCTTTTGCTACACCATGCTGTAAATGCCTTAAAGCAAATAATCTAAAATTACCACTTATAAGTCTTACTACAATGCATCTTTCATAGTTCTATTTCTCCAAATTATCCAGTCTTATTTACAAAACCATCCTTTGAAACTTGTTTCTAGTTCCATTTCTCTCTCAGCAATGTCTTGTCCTATTCCCTGGCATTTCTAAGTCAGCATTTCTTATCTCAAGGTTTACATACAGATGCACACTATGTGAGCCTTCTGCCAGGGTTTGAGAATTTTCTCAAATCCATTTCACACAGATGAAGACCTGTAAATTTAATTTGAGCCTTCAAAACACCAAATCCATTTCTAAAGCAACAGTGGAAGGAAAGGTGTTGGATTGAATCCTACAAGACCTTGCAGGGATCCAGCCCTCCTCATGAAAATTTGGTGCTTTCCATGTTCAGAAGTCATTTCAGTCATCACATAGTGTTTTCATGTCAGTGAAAAATCACTTCAGATTTGAAGTGAACACACATGCCAAGGACATCAAGTGGTCTGATTTTTCCTGGAAAAGCTGTGGGCAGCATTACTACTGTGCAGGGTCATCATTTCTGCTCTCACTGACCTAACTGCTGTGCAGATTTCCAGAAATGCTTTCCAGCTATTGACAGCTGCACAGGGAGTGCCCCAGGAAGAGAGGGGATGAATGAGGCACTTGCTCTGGTTTATTTTTAGTGATACTGTATGGTCTGTGGCAGTGCAAGTAAGCTGAACCAAGGAGCAGATGGTAGTCTCAGACCTAAATGAGTACACAGGGGGGACACAATTTAGAAGAGACAGTCCTAAATTTTCATCTGGCACAGGTCAAGGAGCAAGGTAATCAGTGGGTGATATACTGAAAGGTTCCTGTGTGCCAGAGGCTTGGAGGTTTCCTTCCATGGCTTGGCTACATTGCTGGTAATATACAGCAATCAATATTTTGAAGCTGTTTTATTAAAATCTGTGAGTTTTGCTGGATAAAGGGCTATTTTGCCCTGTTCTTTAAAAACTGAGGTGAATCTTCCACAGCCTGGGTTTTTCTGTACTGGATGTGAATCAGCTTATCAAAAGCATGGATTCAAAGTTCAGAAGTTTGGATTTGAGACAGGCTGTGAGTTTTGCTTGCACATCATCACCTCTGTTTGTCTCGTGTGCGCACACAACTGCCCAGTCATTCTCCTGTGTGTGTGACAGACCCTCCACCAAAACCACAACTCCAACACAGTGAAAACCAAGCAACGAGGAGGGACAGAGTCACACTGGGATGAACCCTTTGCAAGCACCACCTTGCAGTGTGAGACCAGCTCTGCTGCAGCTTCCCATTGCTTCTGGGGAACTGGAAATGCTCCAGCAGCAAACACCTTCTGAGCTCATGGCGGGAGAGGGAGGGAGAGCTCCCTGCCAGCTGCACAGAAGGACCAGGCAGCAGCTCTTTGTCCCTGCATCTTCAAACTTCCATGGGAGCACTGCCAGCTCCTGTGGAAGGGGCTGAATAGGCTTGTGCAGGCCAGGGAACAGGAATTATGCCCTCCACACAGAGGAGGAGAGCAAGGCCAGAGGCCCTGAATATAAGCCTGGAATGTGTTTAATTGAGGGCAAGCAAGCTCAGCAGGGAATGATAAGTGTGTGCCTGCCCATCCTCAGCAGGAGAGTGACATTTTGGGGGCAAATGAGGGGGGGACAAAGGAAGTAGGATAGGGAATAATTACCACCAAGGACCACTCAGAACAGAATAGTGCTATTGGGTTACATATAAGCAGCATGCCCAGCATATCCCTCATCCAACAAAAGCAGCATTACCAGCCCCTCTTGTCATCACCTGCTTAAGTCAACTGCTGAACGGATACTATTAAAGCTTTAATCCATTACACATTTATGTTATGCCTGAGAAATTTATACCACAAGAAGCACTGAGCCCAGCAAGGGTCAAACCTGGGAGTTTTACACACTCCACTGATTATATTCACATACTCAGAAGAAACCACTTAGCTGAAGAAATTAATATGAAGGGGGCAGCAGCCAATCCCCAGAACAACTTGGCCAGGGTGGCTCCCAGAGCCTGGGAAAAAGACTCCATCCATGGCTGGGATTTTCCCAGTAAGGAAAATCTGTCCTTATCCAGAAGTGGCACCATCTTGTCTTCTCTGTGTCTGCTTTTGCTCTGTTTCAGAGGTCAGTCTGTCTGCTGAACAGAACTGGGTCCCTGTATGTTGGCTTTGTGAGATTTTCCATATAAGATGAGATTTTCCACATAAGAACCCAGTGATGATTCCAGGGGTTGTTCCATGGACCTGTCAAGGGACAGTGATTTATCCCATTTTGCCGGATTGAAAGGAAGGACATTTACAGGCTGTCTGCACACCAGGACAGCATGAACAACAAATATTCAGAGTCCTTCTACTCAAAACATGAGCCTGACCTGCAGCAACACATGGGGACGATATGGTGTTCAGGATATCAGATCTGGAGGGTCTGCTCTCACATTTCTCACTCAGAACCAGTATCAGGCTTGCAGAATTCCTGCCAGGACTTGCATGCACACACCAGCTGACTGCAGCTCCTCCTGGGCCATCTGGGGCCCCAGAGCCCTGCCCCTACGTGCTGGTATCTGAAACCAGCTCTGGGTGAGCATCCACAGGGGCTTCTCCACACATTAAACTGTGCAAAGATTATTATTAAGATTATTATTATGCATGTCTCCCACCCCAGGGCATGCAAGGACACAGGACAGTGCAAAGAGGGGCACTGTACCCCAGATTTTCTCCTGTGGACCCACAGCCTCACTTGTACAGTGTGAGATCCACAGAGGTGATTTGCACCTCTCGCTCCTTCAGTGCTGCTCCTCCCTCTCAGGAATTTGCAGCGCTGCCAACTCACCCAATGCACAGCCCAGTTTTCCAGACACAGTCAATCAACCTCACCTCTGATCTGCCTTGCAGCTGTGCCTGGCATGCAGGCTCCAGCAGCACCACAGGGAAGAGGAGGAGGAGGTGTGCCAACTTGCAGGAATCTGCCCCAAAAGAGAAGTGCCACATGTCTTTGGTGGCTGTCAGGGCTGCAGCCATGCCTCTCCCTCATCACAGGGCCTGCCTAGCCAGAGGCATCTCCCTTTCCATGACCCGTGTGGGACTGCCTCATGCATCAGGAAATTAAATACTTGTGAGGCCTGCTATGGGTACACAGGCTGCCTTCAACAAATTCCATAAAGTAGGGCATGAGCAGGATAGAACAGCACAGGCTGCAACTTCCTCAGACATCACAGGGCAGGCAGCTGGCTAACATATGAGGTTCTCACTGTTAAGGCAGGTAACTTGTAAGATTTAAAGTCAGAAATGCGTTTCCAGTAAAGAAGAAATGTTTTCATGGCACACTTGTCCCTTAGCTGAATCTGCTGGCAAGTCCCCAAGGGAAGGTGGTTGAAGCAAACCCACTGCTCAGGCAGGCTGAGGGCACCAAGTGGCTCCCTAAAGGTCACTCCAGTCATGAGACATCAATAATTTTCAGTCACTGCAAACACAGTCTGGAGGCAGCGTGGTGATCTACAGCTGAATGCGAGCCAATGTGGACTAGACAGACACCACCCACCTGAGCCTTTTGCCCTGCTAAGTTCAAAACATTACCTCTCGTATTTTCTTATGGATCAGTTAAAAATGTTGTTTTCCAGTGCATTTGGTCTAAATCTCTTAAGAATTGGACCACTTAACACATAAGACCCAGTGCAATCCAAACCTGCAGCATGCTGACTTACAGTTCTTGACTTCAACTAAATTTCCCTGGCAGAAGTAAATGTTGCAAGTAATTTTTTTTTTTGAAGTTTTTATTTGTGAACATTATTTTGTGGCTCCAATTGCTTTCTGCAAGATACTGAACTAATTCCAGTTTGGCTGAGTGCTCCCTTTTAAATGCAACATCTGCTTTGTGCATCAGTTGAAAAAGAGTTATTTGTGTGCATGGAAGAATCTACCTCTCTGCTGTGGTCTGAGTACAATGTAAATTCTGCTTTATAGAGGATGAACATCCTGCCACCCCCAAAGCAGATTTTACTTTTAGCCACGTGCCTCACATGCAGGAATATTTGTCTCCAGGGGTGGATCTTCTCAGTTTTCCCCTGCAGATCTCAGCCCACTGGCACCCAGTCCCACAGCCCGTGCAAACACGTGCATAATTTCCAGCATCTGAGTAGCTCCAATAAAGTCCACTGGGCTTAAGGGCTCACACATACATCTAAGTACATTGTTGGATCAGGGCCTGAAGTTACTCATGTCTTTTATTTATAAATGTTAGCCTGGTCTGTAAAAGTGACATGTTTCTCTTAAGAGGCTGTGATACCAGATATGCTCAGCTCCTAAGTAAACATCCCCAGAAGAGCTCCACCACTGAGCCCAGCAATGGAGTGGGGGGAGAATGGAGTTAGCAGGGTTTGGAGGAAGGTTTGGACCATGCTGACCCTGGGCAGCACTGGAGGATTCAGTGTGAGGCTTGGTTTCAGTGTTGTTACTCATAAATCGGGGTAAGCACCTGCTTAACTTCCCTGCTAGGTCACAGTGTTGCTCTAGTCCTTTACACAGAGATTCTGGCTCCAGTCTTGAAGACTGAGAAGTTCAGCTCATTTCTGCTCAGGTTCATTCTGAACTGAGCTGGAAACTGTCATGATGCAGAGATGTTCAGACCTGCCACATTCTGTCCTCTCCATCACAGAGAGCACTGGATCACAGGACAGTCCAAGTTGAAAGAGACTTAAGGAAGTCTTTGGTGCAAACTGCTGCTCAAAGCAAGGACAGACATGATGCCAGATGAGGCTCAGCAAGGGTTAGAGAGCCTCCAGTGATGGAGAATTGTACAACTTCCCTGAGCAACCTGTTCCAATGCCTGACTGTCCTCACATAAAAATATTTTTTTCCTTATAGCCAGTTTGGACTACTTTTGATTCATGGCCACCAGCTCCTGTCTTCATGCTGCACACAGCTGTGCAGATCTTAGCTCCATCTTATTCATGACCTTCCTGTAGGTGTTAGCAGGATGATATATTTTGTCTCTCTTCTGGCTGAACATGCCCCATTCCATTTGTCTGCCTTCTCCAGCTCCCTCACCACAGTGAGGGTCTCCCAACTCATTCCATGCCATTTCTTGCTCTGGCAGTTCAAGGCTCTTTTGCTGCAGAAAAGGTGGTCATTCCTTCACCCAACTAGCCGTGCTTCTGTTAATTCATACTGGATTCTGTTGGCTGCCAGGACATTCAGCTGCTGCCTACCAAAACCCCACCAGGAGGGCACTCCCTGGCCAGTCCATGGTGTTGCTGCCCAGGGATTTTCCTATCCAGGTACAGGACTTGGCTTTTGGGTTGGAATTTCAGTGGGTTTGAATGGCACTAGGTTGCTGCTCTCTCTTTCCTCCAGCCTGTTTAGGTGCCTCTGGATGGCAGTCCTGACTTAGAGCTTGTGGGGAAGTCCTGGCAGTTGGCTGCAATCTCTGGATGTGAGGATAAAACAATCCTTCCCCCCCTCCAGGTTACTGATGAGGATGGCAGGGGGGTTGAAATCAGATGAACTTCAAGGTCCCTTCCAGCCCAAACCATTCCATGGTTCTAAACAGGACAGGTCCCAGTACAGACCCTCGTAGGATTCCACTGAGTTCAAGATTTGACAACAACTCTCTGAGCCAATCACCTGAACATTTTTTACTTGCCTGACTGTCCCCCTATCCAGACCCTGCCATCACAGCAGGATGTGAATTTCCCTGGATGTGTACTCACAGCACATGAACCACTCCACCTGTGTGGGGGTCCCAGTTGTGGGTTTCTCTGGGGCTAGATTGAAGGCATTTGAGATGATAGTTCATGTTCAGACTCAAGTGTTTATTATTTCTTATCAGTAAAACAGTCTCACTACTGTGAGTTGGGCAACTTTTCATTAGAAGGCACAGAATGGCCAACAATCTCTTGTTCGAAGGTCTTTTAAGATTAAACTATCCAATTAAGAACTGACACCTGGATTATTTCCCTTTTAACCCAATAACTGATCCCAAAGAGCCCACAATGGAGACTTTTCCACCCAATTACAAAATGCCACCCAAACCCATGGAGAAGAAGAAGCATGAAGAAGCAGCCCAGGACAACACCCTGTGCCCTCCATCTTGCTTCCATCCACAGCACACTAAAAATCCCAAACCCTCAATTTCTCACCCAATGATACACCTGCACTGCTCTCTATAATCTATTTCACACTTTTGTGGGTTCCAGTCTATCTTGAAGTCTGGGAAACTTTCTCCATGAATGAGGGTCAAAGTCAGTGCTGCCCTGGGGGTCAGGGCACCCCAGAGCAGACACAGAAATATTTCCTGTGTCCTGGGTTTCCTGTCTTCATGCCCACTTTTACTTCAGGGCAATAACCAGGGAGTCAGACACATGGTGCAAATTCACCTGAAGGCTGGGCTCACAGAGCATCTTCCATGGAGTCAAAGTGACTTGGATTGACTGGCAATAAGCTTGTAAAATCATTAGTTAAGTTTTAATGAGCCAGGTCATGAAAAGCCTGGCAGAGAGGACCTTTGGTCTGACAGGAACATTTTCCAAAGCCTGTTGGCCAGGAATGGAAATTCAATAAAGTTCAGACAAGAAATAAGTATAGTTTTATGAGGGAAGCAATTAGGCCTGGAAACAGCTGAGTGGTGCCTGATGGGTTCTCAGCCATTTGAAACACTTAAACCAAGGTATTTCTGTGTTCATAAATAAATTCTGTGTTCTGTGACCCAGACAAGTTACAAGCAGGATGCCAGAATTTTTACACTCAATTCTAAGTTAGATGCTCACAGTGGTACCTTCTAACCTTAAAATGATGCAGTGATACTTACACTAACAGCTAACACTGTAGGAAATCCTGCTCAGTTTCTAATAAGTTGTGTTTATTTTCAAAACAAATGAAAGAATAACATTTACATCAACTTCATGAGATTCCATCAACCTGTAATTGATTCTCCTTCCTTTCCATCTTTCCTCCTTTTCCATTGTTCACAGCTACCTACCACTAGGGATAGGAGTATTTATCTTCCATGTTTCATTTTAAATAGCTGCAGATATTGCTGCATTAAAAATACTACAATAATAAATACATTATATAAGTATATTTATTAATAAATATAGTCTATTATTTATTATAATAATACTAAATTTCACATTAAAAATACTAAGATAACATGGAAATGTTTTTTCTCTTTACAGGATTAATGAATTCTACCCTCTTGAGCAGAGTTATCATTGGCATCAGTACAGTTCACACAAATAGGTAAGATATTCCTTTTGCCTAAATGGATCATTCAATTACAAAGGAACCCCCAAGAATTCACTTAAACAGATTGCACAGGCTCATCCATGCCATCTTAAAATTCCTACAGGTCTGGCATTGAGTGTAGGCTGAACAATTCTGCTTAAAACAGAACATGCTGACATAATACAGACTTGAGTCAAATCTACTTTTTAGCTTTATTCTCACAGGGAAATTTTGTTTTTTATTCAGAGTCAAATTTGCATAAGAAATGAATGTTCATTTTCTAAATCTTAAAAAAAAAAAAAAGGCAAAAACCCACCGAACCCTCTTGGCATTCTGTACCAGAGACTGTCATTAAAATTAAAATTAAACAAATTTTTGGAAGCATTTTCCTCCCAGAGAGCAAACAGGTAAGACAATCTGCTGCAGAGATCTGTGTAACAAAGACTCTTGAAAAAAAAAAAATTTAAATCACCACCTTTCAAGCACTTGTCCAAATCAATCCAAACACCAGAGCTAAGGACACCCAGAATGACAACAAAACAGGTATCAGGCACAAGAAAGAACCACCTGCCAGCTCTGCTTGTTTTGCATTTGTCCTTCCAAGCTCCAAACAGGTCAAAGCACGTTTTACTCAAATGATGGCAAAAATAGGAAGGGTCAGCCAGAAACCAAACTTCTCCCTCACTCTTGCAAGTCTTTCCCTCTCCCTCCTCTAAAAATCTGTGGAGTATTTAGGTGAAACAACAGACTGCTGGATTGGAGGGAGCTGGGAGACACAGTTCCAAACTCTTTAGTGAGCGCTGCTGTCTTTTTGAGCTGGGTTTCTCAAAACTACTCCTCCTCCGTGCCAGTGAGGTGTTTGTCCTCCACCTTCTGACACAATCCATCTTTCCAGAGCACACACGGCCACTCCTGCCCACGGCTACTCACCCAGGGGGAGCTTTTCCAGCAGGTAGAGGTAGCACTTGAAGAAGTCGTTCTGGATCGCCTTGTGCAGCACAAAGGACATGCTGTGCCGACACAGCTCCTCGTCTGTCTTGTGCCAGCGCGACTTAAAGGCCAAATGTGCTGCTTTATAGGCCATGGTGAAGGTTTTTTTTTTTTTTTCTGGGAGAATGGGCTGCTGTTGTGGCTGGTGTTCTCTGGAGGAGCTGTCCTTTCCACGGGGGCAGAGGCAGAGTCATTTAAATTGTGGCAGTGTGCTGTCATTCTATATCGGGGTGTGTGCCAGGGGGCGGGGGCGGGTGAGAGGGGAGTGAGAAATGCTGGCTCTTGGCACTGGCTCACACTTATCCCTGGAGTGTTGCCCTCTGAAGCAAGCAGGTGCTGGAAGTGGAAAAAAAAAAAAAAAATCCACCAGGAAATTGCTCAGCCAATGTTAAAGTGTATCTGCTCCAAAAAAGAGTGGCTTTAGTTCAATTGTTCTTTTATTAATCGATTCAGCTTTCACTCCAAAAGAACTCAGATATTATCCAGAATCTCCCTCTTACATCTTGCAAGGTGATTTTGTTTGTGTCTCTCCCTCACTATTGGTTTTTCAGTGCAGGGCACTCAGGAGGAAGGCCAGAAGACAGAGCATGGATTTACCTCTACACAAACTGTGAGTCTTAATAAACGGTGATCCCAGCAAGCAAAGGTTTCCCCTTTTCAAGCTCTGTTTGGTCCAGGAGTCTGCAGTATCAGTACTCTGCACTGCAGAAACACAGTTGTGGGAATCTAAAAATCAGAGGGTTTTGGGAAAGCTGCAAAAGGCAGGCCCCAGAGGCAGTAGAACTGTGATTAGAGCTGAGCAGAAGCCATGAGATTGGTCAGCAGGAAAATTATTTAAACTGTAGAAAAACAAGGACAAATAGAACAATGGTCTGTGTATTAATGCTTGGGTAGAATAACTCTCTAAGCTACAGAAAAGTTTATCTAGCAAGATATTAGGAAGTTTGAAGCTTAATAATGGAGCTCTGTGCATTGTGTTTTAAGGCTTACAAATAGGTATTGTATTCAAAATAAGCAAGCATTGTTTAACCAAAGGTACCTGTACTTATAGTGGTTGGACAGAACTACTGTCAATGTGCTTTTGCTTTGTGTGATTGGTCAACAAACTTTGAAAATAAGTTGTAACATTAAATTCTTGGTCTGCTGCCTGGGATGTGAGCTGGTGGCATCTTCCCATTGTCATAACCACGGAATGAGGCTGATGCTGGAAAATCAAACAGCTCAAGGTATGTTCCACAGCAGCCCCATCCCATTCGTGATTTGTACAGAGCCCCCAGCTGGCACCAACAATCAGGAAATTAGATGTTCCCAATACAAATGGGCTGCCCTACATCCCATCCCAGTGTTGCAGCACTGCAACCTCCTGACAAATATCTGACCAAGTTTTTAAGAACAGCACAAAGGTGACCCAGCTTTCACCAAGCAAGATAAATCTTATTTGGAAAAATAGACCCGATTTTCTTTTTAAGCAGGATCAGTTCCCTAGTCCAGCTCACAGCTGATATGTGGCAGTTTGACTAGAACAGTGCAATATCACAGGGTGGAAAACTTAAGAGTTTAAGGGTTTAGAATACAGTAATATATATAAAGCAAGATGGAGGTTTTAGGGTGGAGGCTGGTCCTTCTTCTTCACCTTCTTCTCCCTGGGTTTGGATGGTTTTGTGTAATTGGATAAAAAAGTTCCCATTGCAGGCAATGGGTGGTTGGTTATTGGGGTAAAAGTGAAAATAATTCAGGTGTCATTTCTTAATTAAACAGTTTATCCTTAAAAGACCTTGTAGAGAGAAAGAGAGATGGGGCTTCATTTTTAGTTTGTTAGAGTGAAGTGCTGTAAAGCTCAGGGTTGGTGAGACTGTGACACAGACACCTGAGTCCCAACAAGAAACACCATCTCACACATTTAATCCCAACCCTGGCAAAAAGAAGCAAAGAATCCACACCAGAGAGTGCCACAACAGCCAAATGTAATCCTGGATTCACTCAGCAAAGTGAGGTTTTCTCTTACCAGACACCGTAAACCCCATGAGAATTGTTGGGCACAATGGCACCCACACTTGTCTTTCCATGGTACAGTTCTCACCCAATACAAACATGTCAGAAATAAGAGTTCTGAAAAAAAAAACAGGGTTAGTTTTTCAGGGTGAATGTTGGTTATAACTCTTTTAGATAAATTAATGATGGGTTTGACTCACAGCAGTCCTGCCCTACACAAAAAGAGTGAAGATCTCCAGAAGGCTGCATAAACACTACTTTTATTTTCTTATTATTTTACCTGCATGTGATCAAATCCCTGTTGCAGCTCTGTCATCTGTGAGTTGCTGTGGACACACCATTGCTCCTCAGATCTTAGTGCAGATAACCAAGTGAATCTCAAGAGCACTGGGCCTTTTAAAGCACTTCCTACTGCTGTCAAAGCTTAGATCAAACAGATTTGTGCCCAGAACTGTGTGATAAAGAGCACATAAATAGCAGGGTTGGCTTTGTTGGTTTGTTGGTTTTTGGGGTTTTTTGGTTGTTGGGTTTTTTTTGTTTGGTTTTGCTTTTGGTTTTGTTTGTTTGGTTTGGTTTTTTGTTTGGTTTTTTCACTAAGTGGATGCTTCGTTTTCTATTTGTAAACAACAGCATATTAATATTTTCTGCTAAGAACAGCTCACAAGTGGTTCATGCTGTCTCCTACACTGATATTCTGAACAGGAGCAGAATCAGTCTGCCCAGAAGCTGTGAACAATTCAAGCACTGTTACACATCCCACATCTGCATTCACAAGGAGCGTGGGGTTTGAGTGTGGGCACGATGACACCCACACTATCTGTGACTGCTGAAATATGAGCAAACCCACATCTCAACCTTAGTTTCCTCTCCCAAATGGCCACTTGACTCTTTCTGAAGCTGAAGCCAGCTAACCAGCTTTTTTCTTGGTGGTCAGGAGAATCCAGAGCTCTGGATAAAGTGGAGTAAACTAAACTAAACTAACAGTCCACAATGCCTGCCAGTCATTGGCTTGAACAGCTCTTGGTCTAGAATAGGAATTTGCTTGTATTTATGTGGCTAAGCCAACATTTCCTCTGTGTGCCTTCCTCTCCCTTCCCATGAGATCAGGCAGTCCTGTGACAAGTGGTTTAGCAGAAATCAAAATGAGGGATCAGCTAGAGAGGCTCCTTGTTAAAACACCTGCAGCTCATCTCTGCCTAAGTAGCCCAATTAAAATCATGTATCAGATGGTTTATGGTGAGTTGCTGCAAGATCCAAGGTGGATCTGCTTGTTGGGACATCAGGATATTTAAGGAGGAGTTGCTTTTATATTAGTAGGTAACCATCTGTCCCTGCAGATTGGAGCTGTACATGTACTTCTGAAACACATCAGCTGCACAGAAAAAGAAATAAAAACATGTGCACAAGCTCCACATATCAAATAGATCACAAAGGGTCAATGTTGCCTTTAAATGATTATGTTCTGCTTACAAAACACCTGGTATGCAATTTCCACACAGACAGCACTCAGGACTGCTGTAAGATTTCTCTTTATCTTAAAAAGGCCTCTATAATCATCACACTCATGCTTGGCATACGCCACTCATGTGTCCAATCAGACTTAGCAGTTTTCAAAATTATTGCTGTGGAAATAATTTAGTTGTGAGTTGACTGTGGAATTGACAAAAAAATAAAAAAAAAAAGAGTGCTTTGGGTTGATGAGAAACTTAAATATTCCCCTTTTCTCACACACACAAAAATTTCTGTGTCAGGCCAAGCAAAATGTTTTCTAATTTTTTATTTGTAATCAGATTCAGGTAGATTTGGTTTCAGCCTATTGTTTACAAGTACAAACAAGAATAATGTCTCCAGCAGACTGGTCAGTCTTGCAAAATCACTCTGTGTCAAGGAAATGCAGAGCAAAGCAAATCCTCGGGCAAAGACCCAGCCTTGGGAGGACAGGACTTCTGATGTCTCAGGAGAAGCCCTTGCTTTGAACCACATTTCCAAAGCAGAGTTCACTGCTTGTAGGTCAGGATGAACTCACAAGCCTTCAGGGCATATCCTGCACAATTCCCATGTGCTTCCATGGGTGCAGCCACAGCAGCAATCTGGTATCGTTTATACAGTTGGAATTTAGCAATCTGGAATTCCATCTAAAGCAACAAAACACGGCATCTGAGCCCTATGGGTAAATATATATTAAAATTAATGTCACTGAAATTGGCCAGAGCTCTGTTCCTATGGAGGGAACACACATTTCTTTCCCTCTAATCCTTCTAGCCCTGGTGCCAACATTATAAATTACATTATAAAGGGAGTGAGTGAAGCCACTCTTGTGTAGGAGAGGCAGCTTGAAGATTTTGTCCCAAGCGCAGTGAGAGTCCCAGCAGGACCCAGATCTGCAGATCCACGAACAGTTTGCTAACACAAACAGCAATATTTGGGGAAGACTCCTGAGCTTTGGCCAGGAGGATTTTATTTGGTTCTGCTCAGTGGTGCTGAGGATGAAGGGAAGGAAGGGCAGGGTTCCTGGTGAAACTGCAGCAGGGGCTGCTCTGTTGTTCTTGATAAGAAGCATGACAGCTGTGCCCACAACATCTGGTTCTCATTGAACCCTAGTGAGAGCTCCTTGCTGAGTCTCTTCCACCTCAGATGTGGTGGTTTAATTGATGGAGCCTGAGAAGGCTTTAGGTCCTGCATGGAATGCTGCCTTTCACTGTGATATGTGACACCAGATACAGTAAGGGCTGGGCTGCTCAGAGCCATCTTTTAAAAGCATTTCTTTTCACTATTGAATTTTGAGTCTATTGCCCTCTGTTGGCTCAAGTGCAGGGTAAAGCTCCTTTTTGAGGTGAAGGCTAACAAAAATTTCCTCTTGCCTGAGTGGGGAGGCTTGAGGGGTTTGGAAAATGCAGGATGAAGTCTGCTGTAGCCTTGTGCATGTGAGTGTGCACAGTTCCTGTGCCCCCACAGCTCTGTGTTTTTATTAGCACAGCTCTGACCAAGGAGGAAGGGGCTCTGGAAACTGCCTGGCTCGGCCATTGAAGACTGCAGACAAGAAGAAAGTTTTTAGAAGTGATCAGAGAGGATCGTGGTTTGGTGAGCAGGATGTTGCACACTCATGGAACAGCACAAAAAGCAATGCAGAACCCCCTCAGGGAGAGCTGGGCAAGTGGGAGATAATTTAGGCTCAATGTC